TATATTATATCTATAACACTACAGTTCAAAAGTTTCAAGCCACCCCCAGAAATAATGAAAGATGAATTTGACAGAAGAGTGAAGAAAAAAAATGAAAAAGAGCTCTTGAAGTCATTGAAAAAAGAATGATATCAGTTGCCAAACTCATACTTTGAGAATCCTTTGTAACGAATGCCAAAAATTTTGTCAAGGCTAAAGAAAGATATTTTGACGAGAGCAAAATTTAAAAAGAAAACACTTTTTTTTTTTTGATAAAATTTCTACTAAAAAAAAAATCATGTATCACTTTTAGTTTTTAACCATGCACAATAATTTACCCCTATTTAAAGTACGAAACAACTAATTTTGGTACCAATTTTAAAAATTACCATGAGTGGCCTCAAACATCTGGACTGTAGTTTGTGTGTGTGTGTGTGTATATATATATATATATATATATATATATATGACAATAGATGATATTAAGTTAGACATTCTTTAGTAAACTAGATGAAAGTATCAGAATTTAAATTGGATATAGCAGTCATTTGCGGATAATCCCAAAAGGTTAATAATATTATTTCTGTTATTAGAATTCTTTGGAAGCTAAAGGCCTTCCTCACAAATGAAGAGAAAACTGTAAGCAAAAGAAATTTGATTCTACTGAATGATTCTGAGAACGCAAGGATGGAGCGCATTTACTACGAAGAAGAATTTAAAAGAATGGAATCTAAAAGGACACTTATATTTAAAATCAGAAAAAAAGATAGCTAGAATTTCTTGGATACATAATGGAGAGCGAGATATCTTTGCAAAATATGCCTTCCAAACTCGAAGCAAAGTATGCAGAAACGGGAAAATTTCGATAGAAACAAAGGAAAGGGTGCTGAACGCCTATTTGATATCAATTTCCCTATATGGTAGTGAATGCTGTTCAGTTTCCACACAGATGAAGAGAAACTACAATAATATTGTTCTACAGAATGATGCTAGGAATACCATAGACAAAATATGTATGCGACAAGGAAATTTTAAAAACAATTATACACATACGTGATGAGCTTGTTTGAACAGATAGGAGACTGGGGGCTGTTTTATCAGGGACAAACGTTACTAAGAGCGACAAGAGAGAGTAAGTTGTACAGATCCATGGTCACACACGTGCTGAAAGGTCATGGAAGACAGAAGAAAAAAACTATAGTTCATCACTATGACGATTCATTGCATCTTCAAAGTGATAGCCATGATAGATTTTTTAGAGTATACATTTTTCTTAGAAATGCTCGGTTATGAAAAGAAGCTTCTAAACTCTCGATAATACATTTCAAAACAGCTAAAGGCAAATCTAACACATTTCAAGTTGATTCATGTTGTGTTAAAAGCATTCAATCCATTTGGTTTGAGAGAATTACTCGACATTCTACAGTATTTTGCTCGTGTAAAGAGGCAAAGAAACGCAAAAAAAAAAAACAAAAAAAAAAACGGCGAACTGAATTTCAGCCTCGAATTGGTTTCCATATCTTTTTCTGCTTAGAGAGGCTCCTTTTGCAAATATTCGGTAGGCATTTTCGGATTCGAATCACGGCGATTAGCTTTCAAAATCTTATTATACGACTCAACAAAAGCAGCGCTGTCAGCAATAAATTATTGAAAAAGGGTTTTTTTTTATTATTTTTATTCCTGTGGTTAAGTGATATTAAGACAAGCGAATGGCGAAAATTGTAGCAGTTGTTTTTTTTTTAATGGAATTTCGCGGGTTAAGTCTAACCAATTTCCTTCTCTATTTAGAAGTAGAAGAAATCAAGTTTTTTCTTATCGGTTCAGATAGTGTGTCGCAGTATTGCTAGTAAAAAGATCCATTATGACGACAAGAAATGACTATGGCAAATTGGAATATTTAATTTTTATCATTAGGACCAACTGAAAAACATGGACAATTACCGACAGAGAAAATCTTTCTTATACATTTCTAAAACTGCTGTCTAATTTGGAACGAACGTCGCAGAGTTTAATGAAGTGACTCCACAATGGCTTCCACTTAAGGAGCCGCTATTTGAGGTCACTTGCACGATAAAGAACAACAGACATAAGCCGAAAATCTGGTAGAATATAAAGGATACATAAAACTAGATGTAGGGCGTTGTCAGTTACTTAACACATTAGCACCAAAGATTAAAATACAGATAGAAGTTACATTCAAGTAGCATATTATATGCGATCAATTTTGCCTACAAAGTTAAAACTGTCCAATGTTGGACAAAATAATATTTTATATATATTAATTTGTTCCAACTGGGCAGCAATGCATCTTTTATACAAGTTTCATTAAAACTACAGAAGGTACTTCTATAATGAAAAAGCCCATATGCAATAACATCAGCGATGAACACGGCCACAATGTGCTGATCGTGTTTGGAAAATAAAACATTCCTATAACTCTAGATACTTACATAAAACAATCTATACATCCCCTTAAAAGTAAAAATAAAACCATCCTTGATAATGGTTAAAAGTATAGCGGAAAGCACATTCGGAGAATTTCTACATAATCTATGCCCTGAAAAGAAAATTACAAGAACACGGGGGGAAAAAAATAACTGCAGTATCTTGTCACTCGTTTTCACGAAACTAGTATTATATATGATTTTAATTATTTTAGAATAATAATGTCGAATCAAACATTTTTAAAAAACTATTAATTCCCAAGGAATTACTTTGTTTACACAACTCATGGTTGATCCTTGTCATGGCGGAAGGGCTTGCGTGGTTCAATGGCTCTGAGAGCGATGTCGTCGGGAGTTCTAAATCCCTGGGAGAGCTAACCCTGACGACAAGGTCGAAGACGAATATCTTGACTCAGCGCGACAAACACGAAATAAGTGAAATCAAAAAAATATGAGATGGCGACAATTTATATATATATATATATATATATATATATATATATATATAACGCCGAAAATGCAAAGAAGGTTTTGGAGTTAGAGTTAATCAAGCGTGGCAGCTGCAGCAAAGGAAGCAAAAGTAGTTTAGTTTTAAGGCTGCAAGATTTCAGGGCACTCTCCACCACCAGACAATGGCGTAGATGTTTTAAGAGTTGGTTCGAGGATTTTGACGACCTTAATTCAGTGTTCAATACCTGGTTCAAGATATACAGATATAGATACGCTTAGTGGAAACGATTACCAAAACAAGCCATTCAGAGACATAAACCACAGGATGACAACAACCCACGCACATTGAATAAAAATGTTCAGTTAAAAATTCCCTTAAGGTTACCTGGATTGACAGGCTTCTGAAGATGGTCGGAGAGCACAACGGCCGATCGTAACAACAAAAATGAGGACATTAGCCTGACTGAAAATAATGATTATTCCTCGTCCGAGAAACTCAGATTAAAATCTTGTGTTAATTAACACAGAGAATTTATAACCAGACAAAACGATAAAAATAAGGGAATAAGCGTTCACAGTTTCAAATATCTATTTTTGTTACGGCTTATCAACCTTTTGCATGTAATTTAAAGTCAGAAAATATTTTTAGATCGTGAGAATTCTTTAAAGAAGCTAATGATTTACTGATGCAAGTTCTACTAATTAACCCATAGCTGGGTGGAGAAGAGGTGGAGTTTATACCTTTCCTAAGAGTATTTGCGCGTAAGTGAATTTAACGAACCCCTCTGGAATATGATCCCAGAAAAACGAACTTCTTCACAGCAGAGAAACAGAGCAAGAGAAAATTCTGAAGGAAGTTCTTTTATAATTATTTTATTCTTATCTATTCAATAAATCGACAAAAGTTCAATTGACTTATCTGTTTGACCGACTGAATATTACACTAGGAAATATTCTGGAAATCAATTGCATTTTGTATCCTATTTACACTGCTCGTTACAAAAGCTAATGCAAACTTTTAAATTTCAAAACTGAATTTCTTACAAAATTGGATTAATAATAATTTAAATTTATCAAAAACCTTGCCCTGATTTCGAGGCCAAACTCTTCAGCCAACCAATAATATCAACGCTCGTTGTTTTATTGAATTTTATATCTCTAGTTAAATATAAACTCTTTATAGATAACAATAACAACACGACTAAAACAGCAAAAAAATTACGAGAATTTAACTTATTTTCAAGTACTGAAACCTGCCAAAAGCGGTTTATATTTAACTATAGATATAAAATTCAATAAAACAACGAGCGTTGATATTATTGGTTGGCTGAAGAGTTTGGCCTCGAAATCAGGGCAAGGTTTTTGATAAATTTAAATTATTATTAATCCAATTTTGTAAGAAATTTGGCAGGTTTCAGTACTTGAAAATAAGTTAAATTCTCGTAATTTTTTTTGCTGTTTTAGTCGTGTTGTTATTGTTATCTATAAAGAGTTCTTTACATTCCCATGAAGAATATAGGTTCACTGCCACGTCACGTGGGGGTGGAATTACCAGCCATACGTCTAACCGGTTTTTAATTCTCTTAGAATGGTCACCAATCAAGGCTACAGAGCCCAGTCTATTTAAACCGAAGGTTAAAAAGGAAAGGATTCATAACTTTCTGAAAAGTACTTGTGCCAATGTAAAAGCAACGAACATTGCCTACCAATCCCACTTCCAACACAGAAAACCACTATGCTAGCCGCAGATTTTATCCAAGACAGACAAGAAATGCTTTGAGATGATTACACATAGAGTATACACATAAGGATACTCGATGACATTTTAGGAGTAGAGGCGTATCAGATTTTATACTTGGTCTGCACGAAAGACAGATGGATGTAACCGATGACTGCTAGCTGACAAAGAAAGATATGATCGGCTTAAATACGATGATAATTGTCATGGCTACATACCATGTAGAGCCTTCATGGTCAAGTTAAGAAACCAAGGGCAGACAATTCTAATACCGATGTCTATTCGTCTTTCAAAATAAGCTGAAAATGGGATAAATCTAGAGTGTTAGCTCTATGCAACTGCTTTCTCAAATGAATAATTAAAGATGACTTCTTGTATGTCTTAACGAAAACCGGTTCCCGTACGATCACCAAAGTTAAGCTATGTTGAGCCTGGTTAGCACCTAAATGGGTAACAACTTGGGAATACCAGGTGCTATTGGATGTCTGAGTGAGGTCATGGATAACCGCTCGGAATTGGAAATCCGAGAGACGAGTTTCAATTCCAGTCGGATTCCTTATATTCACTTACGCTCAAATACTCTTGGGAAAAAGATGCATCCCCTTCTCCCCCAACTACGGGTTAATTACTAGAATTTGTATCAGTAAACCATTTCCAAAACATTATTACAATCTAAAATATTTTCTGGCGTTAAATAATCTGTAAAGGATTGATAATCCGTAAAAATCATTTTGAACCTCGAGCAATGGCGCTACAGAATCCCCAAGATAATAGATAGATAACAGAAACGACATTAGTTGAGAACTTTCAAAAACAGCAACAACTGAAGTAGATAGTACATGCAACTCGGAGAGAAAATAGTGAAATAATCTCAATGTTGAGATTCCATACTACTTCGAATAAACGTTTAGGACGCAAACCGTCCATCAATAATTGAAAGAGCGATAACACTTAGTGGACGGGAGAAAACTATTTTCTAAAAAATTGCTTTACTAGAAAGATTTAATAAATTTCAACCTAAAGTTGTACGAGCTTCTTGGTCACTTAATGTCGATTGTTGCCTTCTAAGGAAACGGATAATATTAGCATTATATCAAACCCGAGTTATATTCGTAGAACCTAATGTTTTCAGCAACCGTTTATTTTTACCAGTGCTCATATTGCAATTTTTGCTGTTATCATTGCATATTTTTACCAGAGCTCGTATTGCAATTTTTGTTGTTACTATCGCTTTTCTCTGGCACTCCTTATTACTAGTTCCCATATTGTATTCATTTCTATGCTTAGTCGGCTCAGGAGATATTTGTGACCTACCATATGTGCTGATTCCTTAAAATAGACAGATACTAAGCGGTGCTTATTTTAACCCTAACCCTATATTTCAGGGGCCGATCAACATTTACCGATGAATTCAGCCCAGAACAACACCTCATCTTTCATTCTGACGCCTGAGCCAAATAGGCTCAGGTTCTTTTTTCTCTTTTTTTCAAGTATTACCCATTTTATCAACTATCGGGACCCTCTGGCGTCAACCAACACTCATCCGGAAATAGCACGTCCTGGAAATACACTTTTACATGCAGTATGGTGCAGCTGCTTCGATTTATGAGGTAAATGCATTTTAAAGAGGGCGGATAATTGGTTTGGTACCTTTCCTAAACGCTTCAGTTTGTGCCATCGTGACGTTTTATGCATATTTGCAGTGCCAATGGCTTCCAGTAACACTTCAAGTGTGTGCTTATACAGCTCATTTTACAATTGGGTTTCCATTCGTCGATTGAAAGCTAAAGATTGCTATATCCTTCTTTCATGGCTTAATCTATGCAGAACAAATTAAATTCCAGCAGAATGGTGCCTGTTCAACGCAAAATGCATTGCAAGATGTTCGACAAATTCCCTCGCGAGCACGATCAGCAGATCAACCCCTTACTGAACTTACAGAGAACATCACAGGATAGATCACCTACAACATTGGCTATAGTGGGACATAAGATCCAAGAGGCGGAGAAAAATGTATTGCCGAATGTTATTCACCATCTTTATGACCCTATGTCCGCGAAAGCTGGGACTTGTGTCAACAATCAAAAAAAAGAGATGGTGTTTTGATTATAAATGCAGAGAGGTGTAACGTTGATGCAATTCTTATTTTTGGACTTGTGTACGTAGTGATTTATATTTCATTAACAGGATAGCAGCTATATTGGTGGTGGTGGTGTATATGACTTCAAATCTTAATTTCTGTGCATTTTATGAATACCTATATTTGAAATAGACGATTTGTTATTTCAAACGGTGTGTATCACGTATATGCACTGTTTATAATGAATAACGGAGTCGATTGACTAAAACAACAGGGTACGTACCCAGTAAAAATAACGGTTGAAGTGTGTGTATTAAAAAGAAGAGAGAAACCGCAAACGTTTTTGGTTGTAATGTGTATTTTTTTTTTAAGTATATCATGCTTTATTTTCCATAATTTTGCTACACGAGTTTCTGGTCTCGCGACATTCATCTGGCAAAAAGTGGATATTTCCTCATATTATTAAAAGGAATAATTTTTCTTATGTTTTTCGATGTTAAATATTCTCCATATTAGGCATTCTCGTTTTTGTGCGTGTTAGTGACACAAATGTCTTTCTTGAACTGGCAGTGAAAACGTTCTGCGTGAAGGTTAATAAAACAATTAAGACTGGTCCGAGAATGAACATGTGTAGCAAAAGTTATGAAAATAGAACCTAATATATTTTAAAAAAATGCACATTACAACAAAAAACGTTTGCAGTTTCTCTCGTCTTTTTAATATACACATTTTTCTCTCGTTGGAACTGCTATAACCTTTTCCCTTTTATATATATATATATATATATATATATATATATATATATATATATATATATGTGTGTGTGTGTGTGTGTGAAAAGTGTATATAAATATAAATAATATATATATGTATAATTATTTATATATTATATGCGCAGTACTTATCAGAAAGCGCTAAATATCAGAGATAGGGCTAACATATTTGTTGGATGGATGTGAGTTTGTGACCCTGGGTTTCACAAACTCACATCCATCCAACCAAATATATATATATATATATATATATATATATACGCCGTAATTTTATTTTAATATATATATATATATATATATATATATATATATATATATATATATATACACCGTAATCAATAATTTAATATATATAAATTCGGTCGCAACCTTTCTTTCAAACATGTTTCGTCGAATATAAGAAGGTAAACATTTTCTTTACTTAAATTCCACGAATGCGCAGTACTACAGGCGTAATTAACGCCGTATAATAAATAAAATGCTGCATCTATTTCAAATAAAAATTGTTCACTATAACAAATGTGGAAATAATACAAAATTTGGATTAAAATGGAATCCATTATTTCTTTAACTATTCCTTATATGGAGTTTGATTGGAGTAAAACTTTATAATTTCTGTGTTTTTCAATTTTATTTTCGATGATTTAGCTGAAATCTCACTGATTTGACCGGATGAAGACGACTTGAATTCCGATTCATGCTACTTCCTGGAAGAATCCACCATACGCACTGCGACTAAAATATTGATAAAAATAGACTGAAATGTGGTTCTACAGAAGGATACTGCGAATACAATAGACTGAATATGGGAGCAACGACAAAATTTTAGTGAAAATGGAAACAAAAGGGACACTTATAGTTAATATAAAGAAGAAACATTTCTAGGGAACATATTGAAGAAAGGGGGCTTGGAAAATTTGATACTCCCAAGAACGACCGAAGGCAAGAGGGATAGAGGAAAACAACGCACAGCCTACTAAGTGGGTTTGAATAAACGTATAGTGGAGTAAATTTTAAGAGAGAGAACAAAAATCTTAAAATCTGTTAAGAGCTACAAAGGACAGGAAATTATGGAAAGCCATGTTCGCCAACGTCTTCTTTTTCATGTTTTCGGACTCTTGGAAATTGTTAGTATGTGTAAATAAACGTTTAACGTTTAAAAAAAAAAAAAAAAAGAGAGAAGAGCAGTTAAGAAAGTAAATTTGCAACCAAATTACAATTTTTCTTGCCCTTGGCTAACCGTGACCAAATCGTTAAGAGATTGTCCAAAGGATTTTAGTCCAGATTTCCTCATAGGCTGCTGAAAATGGCTGGGAATATAAAACGATCCCAGTAACGTTATACAAAAAAAAAAAAAACACTTCCGCTGCCCAAGCAAGGCACAGGGGATTTACTGGGTGTGAAAAAAAATGTAGAAAGCAGAAACGTTACAAGGAGCAACAAGAACAAAAGAAGAGTATTCAGAAAGACAGTAGAAAGCGATTTACGCTGCATTTCCATTTTTCGAGATTAAAATTGGCTGGAAAGCATAAAGGCAAAATAGAGTTCTACATTCGAGAAGTGCGACAACAGAAACTGTTCGTATAGAATTTACGGTCACATCTCGTTAGCTCAAGTGGAAATTTATGAGACCTCGTTGCCAGTACTACACTTATATTCATAAATTCTAGGTACCCTGGCGAAAACCTCACCCGAACAGTTGCCATAGGAATAAGTATAAAAAAGGCACAGGGAAGCAACTTTATGGTGGGAATGTAACTGAAGCAGAGACAATAATATTGTTGATGTTTTATCAAGCACCTCTCTCTTTCTTTCTTTATATATATATATATATATATATATATATATATATATATATATATACGCATACGTTTTCCATACAATAGTACAATACGGCCTCTTTTGTAACGTATTTAATGTGTTAGGGTGTGTGGCTTTAACCTTTGTTGCCTAGTATCCGGCGGAAATCAAAATAATGGCAAACACTGGAAATCACAGACAATGTGTTTGTAGCCATTTATTTCCAATGAAAGGCTATTTTCTTTTCTTCAAAAACCGGGCCGAAGAGCCAGGCGACATTGTTCTAAGAATGTTAATAATCTCACACTAAAAAAAAAAAAAAAAAAAACAGTTCTTATTCTTTTAACTTTTATAGTGTTTCTTTTTTTTTTTTCGCATATTCTCTAACACACTGTTACCCACTTGCGTCTTAGTGGCTTTATTGCCTTGTTTGGGAAGAAATGATCAACCAAAAAAAGTCGTCTGTTTTTTTTTTAAACTCTTCTTAAACTTCATTGGTGAAATTACCGTGATACTTGTTTCATTTTTTTTTTATAGCCTTTGACAATTCTGCCATTCTCCTCAAAACTTGTTTTTATCATTATAAATGACTTCAATAATTGAAATCATAAAACACAAAAAGCGTTTCACTTACACATGTCTCCCTTAGGGCACCTCGGCGTGGTGTAATGATTAACAAGCTTGTCTCGCTGAAAAGTGATTTCGATCCTCACTAGATGCCCCATACTTTCGGCCTTGTGCCACATCTAAGCTACGCTTGGAAAATAACTGGGGGCACCTCGGCGTGGTGTAATGGTTAGCAAGCTTGTCGTCTCGCTAGAACAATTACAACTGAGTAGTGAGTTCGATACTCACTGGGTGCTCCATACTTTTGGCCTTGTGCTAACCCTAACCGCTTAGAAAATCTGTACACATGTCTCCCTAACCCATGTAAAATAATTTGAACTATTAAATCTCACTACTTATATGTGTTGACTATCTCTGAGCTTCTGATCACTGAAATACATACTTTCGCAGATACTCGTAATCTAACCGGACATGGTAAGCAATGGAAGAAGACAAATGAAAGTGAATGGAGAGAATCTGTCTCCGGCCGTCACTCAGTTCCATCCATCTGATTGGTCATTTCCGAAGTCGAGCACACCCATAAAATGTGACATTTAATCGACGCGAAGCAGCTGTGGGCGATGAGCCCGATCCCATCACGTCAATCGAATAGAGGGGAAAATCGAGTTTATTCAAGGAAGGGAATACTCTGGACATGTTTGAGCAGGAAACGATTGAGCAGACAAGAAACTTTAAAGCAAGATAGGGCGAAAGGAGAGAAAAAGTTTTATTGGGGAAATACGAAAAATAAGAAGCGAGATTGAAAACCGGAAATAGTTTGACAGAACTGACAAAATCTCAAAATACACAGAGAACAAGAAAGAATAAGCTCTCTCTCCATTATATATATATATATATATATATATATATATATATATATATATATATATATATATATATATATATATACATACATATATATACATATATAAACATACATACCTAACTGGAGCTATCAAATTCTCGGTTTCACAAAGAACAGATTCTGAAATAAATTCTCGTGTTTGGACAGATTTTGGGAAGAGTGTTGGGTCGTTAACTTCTCAGCACTCCCTCAGGGGTGTATATATATATATATATATATATATATATATATATATATATAAAATGAGAGATCACACAAAGAGTAGTACACATTGCTTCATTATACTGTACTGATTCTGTCGGAACTTTTTATATATATATATATATATATATTAGTGTTAATTTGAAATAGTTTTCTGGTTTTTCATAATTTCTGGTTATTGATAAAGAGAAATTTGATGCAAGTAGGCTTTATATTAGAGTGCTCTGTACTGCAGATAGGGATAAAGCGTTAATGAAATTAATATGGACATTTTTCGCTTAACTCATGTTTGCTTCGTAGTTTCGTGCCTCTGTTAGACATATATGGCCACGAAACAGCGAAGTATACATAAGTTAAGTGAAAAAAATGTTATGCCCATTAAGTCTTCCTGTCTCATATATATATATATATATATATATATATATATATATATATATATATATCATTCACTGAATACTTTAGACAAGGTGCTTTTATTTAGTTTTATACATCTTCTCATGCGATCTAATAATTTTTTGTTTTCGGATGATAAATTATATAAAACTTTCCGAAAAGCAATAAATTATTGCATCGCATGAGAAATTGTATAAAAAACTAAATAAAAGCACCTTGTCTGTCGTATTCAATGAAATGTGCATGAAAGAAGAATTGCTGCCTATATATATATATATATATATATATATATATAGAGAGAGAGAGAGAGAGAGAGAGATAAATAGATGTGTGTATGTGTGATTTTCCACCTTTTCCCATTTAGAAGTAAGGGTTTATTTACTGACTCTGGACTTGTTAATTTTAATTTATCATATTTTGCTTTTATTTATTATATGCTTTTTTAATTTGATATTCAAAATAAAATTAATTAGATTTAGATTATGTGCTATTAGCTCAATATTTTGATATGCAATAAGGTTGCAGGTAGTGTAACAGGAATTTGTTTTCGTGTTTGAATCTGGAAAGAGTACCTTTATTTTTTGTTAAAGAGCTGATTTTGTTATGGAAAAGCGATTATCGCTATTTTCTCCTATCGCTAAAATTTACATGGGTTTTGAGGTACCGTAAGCTGGTGTTATTTTTGGTGTATTACGGTTTAAATTTTTAAAAAGGTACTATATGTAATTCTAGAGTGCTGTACTATTTGTACATTTCTTGATGTCAAATTATGTTTTGGGTGGAACGTCTGTTTCCATGGACTTAAAACTTGCATATAATTTTTATACTCATTGAATCGCATAACTACGTATATTATTTTTTTTCTATAAGTAGTTCGGATTTACGTTGTTACTGTTTATACCTTCAAAGAGTATTCCTCGTAATTGAACGCCCCTTTTGACACTATATATATATATATATATATATATATATATATATATATCAGTGGTTAATATACACATGCATATATATATCTAAATACATATAAATACATATATATATATATATATATATATATATATATAATTCCAAGAGGATACAATCCAGGTAGAACTCAATGTCCAGGACAGAGTAAGGATATAATAAAAAGGCTTAAACACTAATATTCCATGGTTATAATTTATCACATTGGATTCGTAAATACGATCCAATTCATCAGACCTACAAATTCAAATATACACACACATATATATATATATATATATATATATATATATATTAGAGAGAGATAGGACATTAAAAATTATTAAGCTAAGATTGACAATCGTTATAAACAAAACGAGATAAATATAAATAGAAAACTAAAACAATTGGGTTAATGAGTACATACTAAGATCAAATATAAATAAACTAGTGCAACGTGAGATCAAAAACAGTGCGAAGGATAGGTTGATTAGTACATGCATTAGTTCATTTGCACTAGCTTTTATAATACTTACATTATAATTACTTACATTATTTACATTCTTCGAACTGTTGTCCTCATCGTAATTACCATATTCACAACGTTTCGGCCGTTGTAAACTCCGGCCTTCTTCAGGTGATTTTGAATTTTGAACCAAACCCTTTATTTCGTCCACCGGGGTAGATTGTTCTACTCCCACTTGTCATACCTCTTCCCGATGTCTCAGTTGTTTCCCTTTAACTCAACTCACCACTGCTGTAGCCTGGCATTGAACACACAACTCCTTGAGTCTAGTCACTGGATCTAACTAACGCCTTTATTCACTGGGCCATGTGAACATCTATGTAAGAATTTCTGGGATTTATAAACCTAATGTCTCAGTAACCTTTTTTTTTTTTTACCAGTGCTCATATTGCACTTTTCGGTTATTATTATTATTGTACATTTTTTTTACCACAACTTATATTGCAATTTTGTGTTGTTATTCATTGCTTTTCTCTAGCACTCCTTATTACTAGTTCCCATATTGTATTCATTTCTATGCATAGTCGCTTGGTTAGATCCAGTGACTAGACTCAAAGAGTTGGGAGTTCAATACCAGACTGCAGCAGTAATGAATAAAAAAAAAAGAAATAAATAAAAAAAAAACTAAAAAAAAAATAGGAGATTGGAGTTAAAGGGAAATAACTGAGACATCCGGTAAAGGCATGGCATGTGGAACTAGAACAATCTACCGCGGTGGATGAAATAAAAGGTTCGATTCGAAATTCCAAACACCTGAAGAAGGCTGGAGCGTACAGCAAAACGTTGTGAATATGAAGATGAGAATGATATACCGAATAATGTAAATAATCATAATACCTCATCTGAGAAATATAGACAGATTTACATTCTTTCAGAAAGTTTTTATACTGGTTCTTGAACAATGATATCCCCCGCCACTGATTGTCGATTTCCTTAGAACTCTTACATTTGAGGGGCAGATTTTCTTTGGTCTAGGTATTTAAGACTTTCCCATACCTTGCCACTACTATCGTTATTTTTTTATGCTCGCAGTAAGTTCTGTCCGAATTTCTGAATTATTTGCATTCAGATTAATGTCTTCATGTTTGTGGTCATTATTTCAACGTTTCGGCCGTTGCGACATCTGGCTTGTTTTCCAGGCATCTGGTAATCTGGTTATCCTTCAGGGGATTTCAGATTGAACTCTTTATTCCATCTCCGAGGGTAGATTGTTCTCATTCCACTACCCATGTCGTGGGACTAATTTTTTTGTTGTTAGTAGCGGTTAGTTATTGATTGCTCCTTTACAATGAGTAATAACCACCCCAGAATAGAACTCACGGTATTCACGACTAATGGTTTAATCTATTCTGATACGAAGTTATATAGGAATAAAGTGTTGATGCCGATTCTTATGTTTGAACGGAGATCGCCAGTAAACAAACACAGGCTATCTCATTACACAATTAGGTAGATCACGTGACGCATATATAGAGGAAGTCGCGTGACGTATGATGTATTATTCGCTATTCTAGTCTATCATTATTACTAAGTGTTCGCTTTCTCCTCTGTATTCTATTCGGCTCTCTAAACTATTCACTATACGAAGTACTATTAGTACAAGTATTATTCTAAGACGTCTGATACTAGTATTATTCAACGGCGTATTATAATTAGTATCTACGATTACAAAAAGTCCTACTAAGTTGGCATTGACGAATTATCAAACTAGTATACGTTGTCATTATAACAGTGGCAGCAAAGAGTCGTTTTGACGACATAACAAAAGTAATAAATTCATTTTTCATTGACAGTCGCGTCAAACAATGATAGTTTTCAGAGTCAATAAGAAGGGCATTTTTTAAAATGCTAACAAATTTGAATTTCCCCTGAGTTCAGCAGGAACCTAATTTTATGGCGTCTAAATTTAGAGACAACGAGCCCTTCAGTTGAGGGAATGCACAAGCAAGAAATAATTTAAGACAGTTTAAATATTTCCTCCCCAACACTGTCCGAAAGATCACCCAACGGTATTTCTGACCGAACGTGATCATTTATTCGCCTCTACAGATTTATTGTATAAATAAATTCTGTTTCGTCAATTTCACTGAGAGATTTAAACAAAGTAATCAAACAAAAATCTTTTTTGAACACGACTCACATTTGTTGATTAAAACAAGTAGAAAGCCTGATTTTAGGAGCTCCTCATTTGTTATACGTTAAGTCGATATTGTACATTTTAGTTAATATTTTTTATCGGTGTTCAGATACTTCATAAAATTTAATAACCTAAGTTGAATGCAATAGGATAGATGCAGCACAACTCCATCCTGTCTGGACATCTTTGCTCCAAAGAAAAATATGATATGGGGGGAAAAAATTATGCCTCGACTTGCTATTACGTTGTAAACGTCATCAACTCGGTTTGTTTTCTTTTATTTAAATTCTTAACCGATTCGAATTTCTTTGTACTGTTTTACTCAAATTAAGGTGTGACCAATACTAACAAATGCTAGCCGAAATATTTCCTTAAAAAATAAATCATTCGTTGGAATTACAAATTTTTCTTTTAATTATGCAACTACCAACGGAGACAAGTATCCTAACTTCGAAACCTAAGTTGAAATATAAAATAATATCTATTCTTTAATCTCTATTTCAGTTAACTTCTTTCTGTTTACTGACATGTCAAGTCCATTCGTCATCGCCCAACTCGCATGTCAAGTCCATTCGTCATCGCCCAACTCGCATGTCAAGTCCATTCGTCATCGCCCAACTCGCATGTCAAGTCCATTCGTCATCGCCCAACTCGCATGTCAAGTCCATTCGTCATCGCCCAACTCGCATGTCAACTCCATTCGTCATCGCCCAACTCGCATGTCAACTCCATTCGTCATCGCCCAACTCGCATGTCAACTCCATTCGTCATCGCCCAACTCGCATGTCAACTCCATTCGTCATCGCCCAACTCGCATGTCAACTCCATTCGTCATCGCCCAACTCGCATGTCAACTCCATTCGTCATCGCCCAACTCGCATGTCAACTCCATTCGTCATCGCCCAACTCGCATGTCAACTCCATTCGTCATCGCCCAACTCGCATGTCAACTCCATTCGTCATCGCCCAACTCGCATGTCAACTCCATTCGTCATCGCCCAACTCGCATGTCAACTCCATTCGTCATCGCCCAACTCGCATGTCAACTCCATTCGTCATCGCCCAACTCGCATGTCAACTCCATTCGTCATCGCCCAACTCGCATGTCAACTCCATTCGTCATCGCCCAACTCGCATGTCAACTCCATTCGTCATCGCCTCGCATGTCAACTCCATTCGTCATCGCCCAACTCGCATGTCAACTCCATTCGTCATCGCCCAACTCGCATGTCAACTCCATTCGTCATCGCCCAACTCGCATGTCAACTCCATTCGTCATCGCCCAACTCGCATGTCAACTCCATTCGTCATCGCCCAACTCGCATATCAACTCCATTCGTCATCGCCCAACTCGCATGTCAACTCCATTCGTCATCGCCCAACTCGCATGTCAAGTCCATTCGTCATCGCCTAACTCGCATGTCAAGTCCAGTCATTCATCTTTCAATTCAGTCAGAGATATCTGCGGGAAAGAGCGAGAGAAGAAATTCATGTAAGATTTACGTAAGGGAGATAATAAGGCAATGAAAGAGACCCGAACAAAATGCTAAAGAGAATATTAGGGATATATTTCTAAACTAAAGATAAAATGAGAGATAAAGAATAGAAAATAAAGTAAAATTGACATAAAAGAGAGAAATAGAAAATATGTGCGAGTATGGTAAACGTAATGTCAAAGTATAGCATATATATATATATATATATATATATATATATATCTCGTGAAGAAAGTCAGGGAGATAGAAGACAAAGTAAGACCGAAAAACGTAAAGTGGATATGAGAGAGGGAAATAGAAAATGAGATATAATAGCGGTGTGTGTCTGTCAAGAACCAATATTATAAAAGCCGACAAAGATTTATTTCTATAGCACAGAGGAAAAGAGAGAGTGACACTGATAGAGCAGAAAATAATAGAGAGTAATGTAAAATTGTTAAGAGAGAGAGAGAGAGAAAAATCTAAAAGAGGTGAAATGTGTCACAGAAATTCGGAGAAAGTGGGAAGTAACTGAGCGAAACTAATACCTCAAGGAATAGGGGAGGAGTTTCCTAATGGCCTTATTCTAAACTTGCAGCAGGAAGAAATTTTACTGTTAGTTTTGTTCAACCAATTACCATAATTGCCCGAAAGATTACGTGGGCCTGCTTTATTGAAGAAGCAATTGGTTAAATGGTTCTTGAATTGTTCATCTCTTTACGGTGGCAAATTAATAATATGGAAAATGAGATACCTTCTGCATTGTCTAAATTGAAGAGCTCCTTCAGTGGTGTACGAGTTATCCCCCTTACTATAAAAATTTTATTGCATTCAGCGCGCTTATCGCTAATTTCCTTATTCAAAGAGATTTTAATTGAAACATTTTGATTTTTAAAATCTTACATTTTTAACAATAAAATTGGGTTGGTCAAAATGTTCGTTCGCTTATAAAGTAAAAAATTTATTTAAACCGAACAACCATTTTGGTCAATCCTACATATTAGAAATTAATATTAATTCCGTTATGTAGTTATAGATAGTCACTTAGTAGTTCTGTAATGATTAGATAGTCGTGATTGATTTAGCGTGACAAGCTGAGTAGTGAGTTCGGTCAACACTTGACGCTTCATACTTTCGGCCATGTGCCACATCTAAGCTACGCTTAGTAAATCGTGATTTAGTTATAGTTTTAAAACTGACGTCAGGAGGTCATACGTTAAACTGATGCCACCTTTTACTATATATTTTAACCATTTTCATTAAATTTCGTAATTTTCTTGATTTAAGATGAAAATTTAGAAAATTTGGAACATATTCCAGTGAAATTTTTCATTTTCCAAAAATGATAGCTTCAAATTACAGTTTAAACATATAGATATATCAGGCGTCAGTTTAAACAGATGTCGTTAAGATATAGGTTACTTTTAAAAAATTTTTTTTTTTTACAGTGGTGTTCGTCCTGTACAAAGCCCAGAGGCCAATCGAAGTAGAGTGTTACAGTGTAAAAAGCACAGCTTATGCGGACATGTGTGGAAGATAACCCTAGACTTTAGCAGGTTAAGATTTTAGTTATCGGGGAAGCAATCTCTTGGAAATCGGTTCCCCAAGAAGCTGCTCGAGTAGAACTTACATCTTACGAGGAAAATACGAAGAGAGTGAGAGTGGTTCACCGCATTGTGCGTGGCATAGCGGTTCTTAGCCGTGTTGGTTAGGGCTGGTGGAACTAAGGGATGTAGTTCGTCTGAACATTCTCCATGGAAATAGCGATAGAGTAGCGAGCGTCTCGCGACGTCTGTCGCGGTTCGGTGTACGCGTTGTGAGAATAACACGCGCGTCCCCTGAAATGGCCCAAAACAAGCATGGCGGGCTCAGGATGAGTCCATCAAAAGAAATTAAATGAAATAACAATATATAATATATATATATATATATATATATACACAAACAAATTAATATGTATTAAATAAACGGTTACAAATGACAAAAACGATAATGTGTGTGTAACAAATTAATGTGGAGTGATTGTTCGTACGTACGTGTGTGCGTATGTATTATTCATGGCGTTTCCCACAAAAGGAAAAAACGCAATCTCCACGTGAGATTTACATGTAGTATCAGCTTAAAAGTAGAGAGAGAGAAGGCGAGACAATATATCTCCGAGTATATGTAGAGTTGAAGAGCGCACCCAAATAGCGGTTTCTAAAATTAAGAGGAGGTAACTCGATACGTCTCATCTGTGAGAAAGGGGTTGCACAGATGAAAATAATTCGTCGCCTACAAGGACGCGGTGGCGTTTTTGGATTATCGAAAGTGAAAACTGCGCAGCACACGCACATATATGATAGCCGTACTCGTCGATAAGTCTGAGATGGACACTGAAATAAGTAATGTACATTTGTGCAGGTCCTTTAACGGTGCTAATAAAAATTGCAGTTTTATTTTCTTTCTAAATTACAGTTTCTTTCTCGCGTAAAGAACATGAAGAAAATTACTGAAGAAGAAAACCCTTTATAAAAAAAAATGTTTCTCAGGTCTGAAAAGTATTTTCTTTCCAAAAACATTTAATCATTTGTTATTTTAAATAATACAGATTTATGAAATGAAAAAAACATGAAATTTCTTTTATCATCGTAATTCCTGGTTGTTGGTCATTTTCATTCAATTTCTTTATTTTCATTTTATTTCATTCGTTTTTCTTCTACTATGTGTTTCTTTCTTTCATCGTTTTGATATACTTTTGGTTTTTTATTTTGATTACGTCATTCCTTCTTTAGTTTTAACTTTACTTCAGGCTGTTTTTAATTTTATTAAAATTCCGTCTTTTAATTTCATCTTTCTTTCTTTTCCTTCATTCCTTTATATTAATTAATTCTTCCGATCCATTCTGCCTCTGTAGCCATTCTTCTTGTTTCACTTCCTCGGTATTCATTATTTCTCCCTTCCTACCGTCTTAAACTTTTCACTATTCATTCTTCTCTCTTATTATTTCTTCCTTCCATCTTATTCATCTTTCTTTATTCAATATTAATTCTTCCTTTTTTCACTCTTCCTTCATATCTTTATTCTTCTTTCCTTCCTCTCTTTTTATTTTTTTAATTAAATTCTTAGTTTCTAGTCATTCTTTACTCTTTATTCTTCCTTCCTCTTTGTTCCTTCGTCTCCACACAGATCATTCATCTTTACTCTCTATTTTTTCATCCTTCCTTCCTTACTCTCTATTCGCCCTTCCTCCCTATTCACCCCTCCTTCCTTCCTTTCTATTCACCTCTCCTTCCTTCCTATTCATTTTTCTTTACTCTATTCATTATTCCATCCTTACCCCCCTCTCTATCCATCCTTACCTCCCCCTCTCTATCCATCCTTATCTCCCCCTCTATTTATTCTTACTATCTTTCACCTTAATTGCTCATTTCCTTTTTTTGCTTAAACTTCATTCTCCTAATGGCGTCCATTTTCCTGTCTCCGTCTCTTCTGCATCTACTGTTATTTTTCTGGTTTCTTTTGATATGTTTCCAGATTCTTTACTTTTTGAGCTTCATTACTTTCTCCATTAGATCGTTCGTGCTTTCATTCAGCGTTTCTTTCTTTCCTTCCCCGCTTTCTTTCTGGAGTCTACAAGACGATTCACAAAAAAGCATGAGATCTCTTTTTAGCTCCAGTGCAGCGTCTTCGATAGGCGAGCACCTGCCATCTTCGACATCTAATCCAATCGGCACATGCTTACAAGCTCGGCAACGATGCTCGCGGTCGACAGCGACAAAACCATGATTTTTGGAGTGCACTGCCGTAAATCTTCCATTTTTGCCTCCGGCGGCGATAAACTCGAAAGTAATGGGCGTAATGTGTAAGGGTAAGTGCATTATTTCGAACACGCACACATACATACATATATGTATGCATATATGAGAGAGTGAGGCCTGTCGATTTGTTTTCATTTTGTGCACGTAAAAACCTTTTGATTAAGAGCTGACATATTTGGCTTAAGGTCATCTGATGGGATACGTTAGGATATTGCCCGCCTTATGATATAACCCGGGAAACCTTTCGAAACAACACGTTGAAATACGGCGTTGCGACGGATATTAAAATAGCCATGACTTTTATCATCATCGTCTATATGATGCGTTCCTTTAGGACGTGGACGATAATAGCTCTCCACAACTTCCTATCCTTTATAGTTTTTAGTAATGTTTGTCTTTTTACTATCTCCTAATAACGTTTCTGCGAACCATTTACATGAGCTCGTTAGGTAGGGGACTTGTGGTTTTCTTCTGCCGGGCTTTCCTTCAATATGATGATTTTCTAAGCCTAGCTTAGATGTGGCACAAGGCCGAAAGTACGTGACACCCAGCAAGGATCGAACTCACTAATCTCTCATAATTGTTCTAGCGAGACAAGCTTGTTAACCATTACACCCAAATGATTTTCTACGCGTAGCTTAGATGTGACAAGGCCGAAAGCGTGGAACACCCAGTGAAGATTGAACTCACGCCTCAATCGCAAATTGATCTTGCGAGACAAGCTTGCTATTACAGAACGTCGAAGTGTCCCAATATTTACCGTGAGTGTCAAATTCTTCTAGTTCTCTTTCCTCATTATCTTTATTCCAGTTGTCTCTCCTTGATTCTAAGTATAAACATCCTTTTTTGTTTCCATTATCCTTAATACTTCCTCATTACTCTAAAGTTCTGTATATGGTATTCTCAGCATCCTTCTGGAGAGCCCCATCTCTTATACCTCTAGTTTCTTATTCAACTGTGTGGAAATTGTCCAGCACTCACTGCCATATAAAAGGATTGATATTCCATAGCAGTTCGGCTCTTTCTTTTTTCCATTTTTTTTTTCTGACGAAACTTTCCTGCTTCTTTTAGAATTTAGAAGAAATCTTTTGCAATTCCAAAGCGCCTTCGAATTTCAGAGTCACATATTCCGGTATCTGTTAAACACTTCCTAGATATTTAAATTTACTTGCTTGATTTTGATTCGTAGCTCGGATCTTCCTCTTGCTGACGACATTATATCCTTGTATAATTGATATTCATTTCTTTCTGCTTTTCTTTACTATCTTGTCTAAAAGTTTATACAGTTTCTTTTTGTGAATCTGGTATCAGTACTATATCATCTGCATATCTTATGCTGTTAAAAACCTGCCCATCAATAATACATCCTGGTAGTTATCTGAGGCTCGTTTGGATAGCTCCGGTAAGACATATCCTTGTCTTACGCCCCTTTCAATTGTTGCGTACTTAATTCATTTTCTATCAGCATGCAAGCGGTTTGCTGTCGGTATACATTCTGGGTTACCTTAATATCTTTATCGAATGAATCAAGTTTTTCTTGCACTTCCAATAGTTGTTTGCGTTGTTTCTTATCAAATACTTTCGTGAAGTCATTAAACATGGGTGTACGTCCTTTTGCATTGCTCGCTCTGATATCTTTCTCAAGATAAATATTGTATTTCTTACTGTTGTGCCTTTCACGAAACCACACTCTTCTTGTCCAATTATCAGCTTCATTTCACTATCCGAAATTTAGTCATATGAAAATTTGTAAGCCTACAAAACTTTATCTCAAGCGTATATAATATATATATATATATATATATATATATATATGAAGAAAAATTTTGAAAAAACAAACAAAAATCCTTAAATGTTGTTTAAAATGAATGAAATGTCGACGTCTGACGTTTCGGTTTAATAAACCTTTTTCAAGACAATATTCATTAAAATACAATTCAGTTCAATATGACAAATACGATGGACATAAAAACACAAGTCTTATCCAAAACAGATAACTGAAAATTTTTAAAATGATCAGCCTTCCGTCTAACTTGGTCACGCCGTCGTCACATGAGCGACGCTTTCAAAACGTATTCCTAAAAGTTTGTGATTATTTTGAAATGAAAAAGAAAATGAAAAGAATTCTATTAGGTTCTAAAATCTCTATGTGTACGCCTGTCGAGCACCAATCCCGCCAAAAAAGGGGAAACACTAAAGAAACCAGGTCCAGCATAAGGCTGATCATTTTATCATTGTTTATTTTTTCAAAATTTTTCTTCATTCTGTCGGATTTATATCCATTTACACTTGCTTATATATATATATATATATATATATATATATATATATATATATATATATATATATATATATAAATAAATGGTACTCTGTTTAGAAAAAACTTTGGATAGCTCAGCCTGCAGAACAAATCGGTACCCGAGGAAGAATGGGGAATAAAAAAATGAACTAAGAACATTAAAACACGGCGAAAACAATCGTCCAGTGTTTAAGCTCCAAGTTAAAAAAAAAAAAAAAAGAGTAAAAAGACAACCACGTAAAGTGTTCAATGCACTAAGTAGAGCAAAACTCAAAATAATCCTAAGATATTATATATATATATATATATCTTGACCGACAGATGAAGACAAGAGTCTATTACGTTGATCGCACTCGATCTGTATATTAGGCCTTCAGATTTTTAATTTAGAGTTTTCCTTCTACACTGGTTGCCATCCAAGGCGATAGGACCAAGTGTGCCCAGTTATCATGTACTCTAAAATGTTAGTTTTCCATAAAAATCTTAAGAAGTTTGACAGCTACCTAATTTTCTTTACTAGCAAACTGTGATCAAAATGCAAAGTTCGTTACCTCTTTCAAGCCAGAAGAAAAGTTTATTTGAATAACGAAGTAATTTAATTATAAAAGCCATCAGCAAATAATGAAAATAAATTAACAGACTGGAAATGAATAAAAGTTATTACACAATTGTTTTTAGAATCTGAACAAACAAATTAATTATTGCCATTAAGTAAAGCCCGTTAAGTCTATTAAGATAGAACACATGGACGATATAAAAGATAAAACGTATCACGGAATGCGTAGGCTAACCAAAATTGGTAAAATTTACGGAACGTTGACGATCCGAAAAAAGTGGGTGTGTTTTGAATCCCGTGGACATGGCATCTTGACAAAGGTGGATTGTCTTTAAGCTTTTATATAACCCCGCCAAAAAAAAAAAAAAAAAAAAAAAAAAAAAAAAAAAAAAACAAAAAAGGAAACAACAAAACAAAAAAGGAAACAGGAAACAAAAATAATCGTGAAATCAGGCAAGCCGGTTGCGACAGTAGAGAAACTACGAGCTCTGGTTTTCTTCCTTGTCTGCCTCCCCGAGATGCCTTTGTGTATAGAGGTTTTGGTAGGGGAATGGAGATTACAGGAAACGGATCAACCTGCTGGTCTTTCTCTCTTTCTTTCCCATCTCCTTTCCTCAAAGAACCGATCCCTATTATTTCTCAACATACTTGAAATAAACAGAAAAAAACAGATTGTAACATTTGTTTCTCGTATACTATCTGCGATGCAGTGTTGAGATCCCAATTGAGTAAGTACCAACAGACAGCTAGAATCCCGAGACTGCGCACAATGGAACCTTTGTGTTACAATTTTACATAATATTTGCAGTTCTCCACTATACACGAACAAACGACCAACTTAATACATATTTCATTAATTATCAGAGTCTCAAGCGGACACAATGAAACATTAATCTTTAGACCTTAGATAATAACATATGTACGTGAAATGATATACTTCTACATACAGTAAGTGTCGGTGTTCATTACACATTCAGAAGATATGCATCGAGAACAAGATGGTAATTTTAAAAGGAAAATATCTCTCTATGGTTTGCGTATGTTTTCTTCCTCGTACATATCCACTTTATCCCAAACTCTCTACATGTTTCTGCAAAGCCACCCTGAATTGTACAATCTAATATCTTCACACCAATTTATGAAACATTCACCTGTAATTTGCTTTCCTTTTTCGAAATAAATACTCGCTTTTCTAACATCTGGTAATCTTGTGGACCCCGAATATTTGTTTTGATCGCGTTTATCAATGCTACCTTATTTACAACGGGAAATTCGACATTTTCATTTCTGTATGGTACACGGTGTTTGATAGCTGGGAAAAAAAATCCCCGAATAAGCCGAGAACTTCCAAACAGTCGGGAGATTAATTGCATCGGCGGGAGCAGCGTAATAATAGCGAGGCAGGAGAAGCTGAACGTATTTTATAGACGAGATAGATAATGGTTACCTAGGTGACCCGTCCACGACAAATACACATATTATACACTAGGTCTTTACAAGTGCTCAGTTGGGCTGGAGATGAAGAACATATAAAGTTGTTATTCGGAAGACTTATTTCCCTTGAATTGATTATTGTGGCTCTACGTTGGGGAACGCATCCTTTAAATATTGGAAGATTTAGGGAAATATTAACAAGAGAGGAATGTTCATAGATATCTTGTGTATTTTGTGACATCCAAAAAGGTGCCTGCGTAGACGACTAATTCTAAATTTAACAGGAAATATTGGAAAAGGAAGATTAAAGGAAATGTTTTTACAGAAAGCTCCAGACTGCATTGGCGAAGATTCGTGCATCACAAATTTTGGCAACAAGCCTCGGCTTTACCATAGAGCGCGCATTAAGTATCTCAGTCAATTGTTATTTAGGTAGAAACACAAACACATATAAATTAGCACACACACTATATATATATATACATATATATATATATATTAGCAGAATATATACGCATATAAATTAGTAGGAATATATATATATATATATATATATATATATATATATATTTATATATACGCATAAAATTAGTAGGAATATATATATATCAGCAGAATATATACGCATATAAATTAGCAGGAATATATATATATATATATATATATATATATATATATA